CTTTCATTATAAAGGGGAGCGCGCGGCGACACCGAAAAAAACAAAAAAAAAACACGGGAGACATCTCCCGTCACGCAGTGTGCAGTCGCACCTCCACAGATCTCCAGTATCATCTATTGATACTGGAAATGGCTCAAAAGGGCCACCATTTATGGGCTATTCTTGCCCAAGCCACCTTTTGGGTGGCTTAATCTTCTCTCTCTCTCTCGACACCGAAAAGTGTATACTCGTTTCAGTTTTCTCGCCTTAATTCTCGTGCTACGTCGTTCATTTTGATATTGTGTTCGCAATAGAAATTTCTACAGGGGTATATGCATATAAGGTCCAAAAGCCTGGCGTGACTCCCCACAGCAAAGCCTAAAGTCGGCCAAGTTACCTGTGAACGAGCACCAATTGGTACACCTGCAGACTAATGTTTATACTCGTTCAGTTTGATAATATCAAATTTCGCGTTACGTGTTTCATTTTAGTATCAAATTGCTCGCAATATAAAGGCGCGTATTTTAAAACTAGTCCCATAATAATAGAAAAATAAATGGAATGTTAACAAATATTTTAACGTTTGGAGATTTTTTGACGCTCATCACCACAACATTATTTATCCTTCCACTGTTCTGACATCAATTTTTGGATTACGTCTTTTATTTTGGTATCAAATTGCTCGTAATATAAAGGCGCGTATTTTAAAACTAGTCCCATAATAATAGAACAATAAATGGAATTATAACAAATATTTTGTTTGTTATAATCGGAGTGCGATAGTCTCGTTGTCTTCAGGGCCAAAGTTACTTAAATTATCCCCCATTGTTGCCATGTTATGATGTCCGGTAATTATTTATATTTTGTGTTCGGCTACTGTGACTTTTCACACAATCTTTTACATTGAGTAACTGTAGACCAACACAGTAGTTACCTTAACATACGACTCAAAACTGATAACGATCGAACATTTTTCGAACAGTGCTTCCTTAAGGACCTCGATTGGTTTTACTTCCATGGGTCAAATCCTTGTATAGTTACTTGAGATTAACTGTGGATGATTTAAGATGAGTGTATGGTAAATACGTGCTATATAAACAAATCCACAAGGGCCGTGACGAGGATTCGAACCTGCGTCCGGGAGCATCCCAGACACTGCCTTAATCGACTGAGCTACGACAGGGTTAAAAAGAGTTGAAACCGAAGTTCTACTGAACTTCGGTTGATTTGTTCATTTGATGCATCACGTTAGTGTGATCTCTGTGTGTTACGTGCTATATAGTTGTAATAGCTTGAGGCTTATATATAATACATATATTGTTACGGTTATCTCCTGCATAGCACTAGATTCTGCCTGTTCCTGACCACCTCTAAATCAGCATGCTCCAACATGAAGAAACGACAACGATACATGCCAAAACGTATTGTATAGACACTCCTCCACCCTTCCTTCCACGAGAACCTTGCACCTGCAGTCTCGCCCGCCACTAGACGCCATCAACAAACTATGAAGACGGTCATTATTCTGGCGGTTCCTCGGCTACAGCTCCAGAATTTGTGCCAGTCTGACGTCACAGCCCATATATAAAGACTTGCCAGCGTCCAGCACATGGTTGCATGCAGAGGTTGCATGGCATGCAACCTCTGAAGAGTCAACTAGCACAACACCTGTACCCTCTATTACTGTTTTACAGGAACTTCTTTTCGACGGCTCACAAAACGGAGGAAAGTGTCCTGAAAGTGTCCAGTGTCCTCGTTATTAATACGAGCGTTATCTCTACAGACAAAAATCAGAAAATACAATTGACAATTTACTACAAAAACAAAAAAACGGTCAATCTACTCAAGGAAAAACTCCCCAGACACCAAACAGAATGCCTTGAAGGAAACCAACGTCGTCTATGCCTTCACATGCCCCCTTGGGGACTGTAAGCCTCAAAGAACTCAGTATATAGGCAAGACAACAACGTTTCTTTCTAGGAGATTAATAATGCACAAACAGGGCTCCATCAAGGAACATATAATCTCTTCTCACAACCAGACCATCACCAGAGAAATCTTAACAAGCAACACAGAAATCATCGATAGAAACAGTGATAACAGGAGACTCGACATCAGCGAGGCTCTACACATATCAAAAAGTTAACACCAGCAATCAACAGCCAATTAACGCATAACTATATTCTACCCACTTCAAGACCCCCGAACCAACATAGAAGCAGCAAGAGAAAGTATAGGCCAATAGGCCTTCTGCAGTTACTTCCATTCTTATTTTTCATACCCATTGATTCGTGTTCTAGCATAGTTCTCTCACCTCACCCAAAACTTTTGTGCCATATCACCTCACCCAAAACAAGTATAATTATGATGTATATTATGTGTAAACTAAGTCTTTGAAAATGTAATAAGCATTACGAAACGCGTTCAGGCATCAGGCCAAAAATAAAGAATGAATTTTGGAGAGTTAATTTTTCAGTTATCCTCGACAGTGAATACAAACGAAAGAAATATTGAGAAGATTCGTGTTAGAATTATTAATCTTACCCTTTCGGTCATATTCAACTATATATATATATATATATATATATATATATATATATATATATATATATATATATATATATATATATATATATATATATATATATATATGTCGTACCTAATAGCCAGAACGCACTTCTCAGCCTACTATTCAAGGCCCGATTTGCCTAATAAGCCAAGTTTTCATGAATTAATGTTTTTTCGTCTACCTAACCTACCTAACCTAACCTAACCTAGCTTTTTTTGGCTACCTAACCTAACCTTACCTATAAATATAGGTTAGGTTAGGTTAGGTAGGGTTGGTTAGGTTCGGTCATATATCTACGTTAATTTTAACTCCAATAAAAAAAAATTGACCTCATACATAGAGAAAAGGGTTGCTTTATCATTTCATAAGAAAAAAATTAGAGAAAATATATTAATTCATGAAAACTTGGGTTATTAGGCAAATCGGGCCTTGAATAGTAGGCCAAAAAGTGAGTTCTGGCTACTAGGTACGACATATATATATATATATATATATATATATATATATATATATATATATATATATTCATATATATATATATATATATATATATATATATATATATATATATATATATATCAACCTATATATATATATCCAACCTATATATATATATATATATAGGTTAGGTTAGGTAGCCGAAAATGTTAGGTTAGGTTAGGTTAGGTAGGTTAGGTAGTCGAAAAACAATTAATTCATGAAAACTTGGCTTATTAGGCAAATTGAGCCTTGCATAGTAGGCTGAGAAGTGCGTTCTGGCTACTAGGTACGACATTATATATATATATATATATATATATATATATATATATATATATATATATATATATATATATATATATATATATATATATATATATAATATATATATATATCTGCATTTATACAGATAAATATAGAAAGGAAGGAGAGAGAAAGAGTGATAAAGTAGGAGGATAAGCAGGTGGATTGGTGCGGGGTAAGCCGAGTCAATGATGTGTGAGTGAGAGGTGGAGGGTCGTTATAGGGGGAGGGTCGTTGGGGGTGAAGGTCGTTAGTGGCATGACGTCAGCAGAAGGTCGACTTCCAATCTTTTTTCCACACTGCTGTCTAGCATGCAGTCGGTGCGTCCTAATGCAATAAGGGAGAGTGCGAGGGACAGCATTCAATTGATTGTTATTATTGGCCTTAATTAAGTATAATATGGCTTTACACGCTAGCTGTGAACAGCATTGGTGCTCATTTGAAACTTAATAAGTACATATTTCCGACATCATAGGTAGCTTTCTCGACCCGGCTAGCTTCTTAAATAAAACACACACACACACACACACACACGCGCGCACACACACACACACACACACACACACACACACACACACACACACACACACGCGCGCACACACACACACATACACACACTCAAGGCGCCCTGTGGCTGAGTGAACAACGCTTTGGACTCGTAATCCTAAGGGTCCGGATTCGATCGCCGGCGGAGGCGGAAACAAATTGGCAGTCTCTTTCACCCTGATGCCCTTGTCACCTAGTAATAAATAGGTACCTGGGAGTTAGACAGCTGCTACGTGTTGCTTCCTCTGTGTGTGTGTGTGGAAAAAATCACTTGATTGACCGTTGAGAGGCGGGCAGAAAGAGCAGAGCTCAATCCTCGCAAGAACAATTAGGTGAATACAACTAGGTGAATACACACTACATTTAACAAAGAATACCCGAAGTGAGGCTTGAAGCATATGTTCGAGCCTTCAAGCACTTCTCGGCTAGTATGTTTAGATGAATTCACATACTTCAAATAAATAAATGCACACATACATATACAAACTTATATTCATACATACGTACACATACACATATAGACACATATATATGTACCAATTATACAGCGGAACACAAATGGAGGCGCACATGTCTACCTTGATTTAATTACCTACCTGACTGGGGGTGATTTCCCTGAGCTAAACTCTGATCCCAGTTTAATTAAAACCGGTTTCGACGTAGGTATCATTGCCTTCATTATAAAGTAATTAACTAAGCCCCCCTTAATGGATTCATACAGAAATCTTCCTATAATTGTTGCCAAACAATTTTGTGTCCCTTTTATTGTATTTTGTAATGTGAATATTTAATAGAGTATTGTATTTTGCAGCGTAAACGATGAATGAAGAAGCTTAATTTATTTAAATTAAATTAATGAGGAAGTTTAATTTCACTTTATCAAGGGTAGGTTTGTGGCGAGGACCTACTTAGGGCACCTGATCACCTCATCTTGGATCCCCACAACAATTGCCTAGCTTACGTGTACCTATTTTACTGCTAGGTGAACAAAGGCGTCAGTTAAAAAAAAAATAGTACACAACCGTTGCGGTTCTCTTGCTTGGAGATTGAATCCTGGTCGATCGTCTAGGAGTCGAGGTCGTAGATCGCTGAGCCACCTGACCCTGTCTAACAGTCTCGGGAGATGGGTGCAGTGAAGGGCGTGCATAGTGTCACGCTCTTGATCAATAAAGGTTTGTTCTCTGTCTTGAGAATCTCAGTTTTAGAAAGTTTAAAATTACCTGCTGAAAATTCCAGTTTCTTTAAAATAAGATTTTCTTGTCAAGAAATTCCTTTATTTTGTTCACCTGGAAACGGCAGTTTTCAAGCCAAAAAATATCCTTTTCTGTCTTGAAAATCTTAGACTTTGTCTTCAGAACATTATCTTAAACTTGAACACTTATTCTTGAAAATAAACAGTGTTTGCCTTGAAAACAGAACCCAAAACCCTAGAAAATCTATTTTTCATTATGAAAACTCAAATTTTCTTCAGTATAAGCACAACTTTCAGCTTTCTACACATCCTTCCTTATCCTCTCCAAAGGGATTTTTTATATATATATTAAATGTTTACTTTCAAATCCTAGTAATGTATCTTTAGATCACTGTTTTGAGGTCTGAAACCAATACTCTTTTTCAAGAATTTTCAATTTTTTCCGCAGAAAACTTCACTCTTTGCTCTGAAACTCTTAGTTAAGTCCTAAAAAAAAAAATTTGCAAAGCCTCTCTGTTAAAAAAAAAAAACACAATCCCTGCGCAGTAAATTCAAGCTTCAGAATCGAAAAATACATTTGTTTTTTTTCCTGAAAACAGGCAACCCTAAAAATCCTATTTATATTAAAGAAAAATACCTTCGTTCACCCTAAAAAATCTCCCACTCTCAGATCTTAAATAAATAAATAAAAACGGCTTTCTGCAATGAAAAAAAAATATTTGCCTGTCCCCAGGAGGCTTCCTTTCTGCCCTGGAAGCCTCATTTCTTCCCTGGATGCACCCTTTCTGCCCTGGAAGCCTCCTGGCATTATAACTCTCTGCTTAAAGTCGTCGAATTTCTTCTTCAAAGTTTATTTCACTTTTTACCTTTCTGATTTGAATATTCACTCCATAATCCCTTTTTTTCTTGGATGTTTCTTGAAGGTAAAGACTTGTAAGACGACGATGTAAGATAACTTTATTTAACAAGTTATAATTGATTCAGCTTTGGTGTTCGGTGGCTGGTCTTGGTGGATGGAGCACCAGGGAAGGTGGAGGTGGATGGAGCACCAGGGAAGGAGGAGGTGGATGGTTACTGTTGAGTGGAGCACCAGGGAAGGTGGAGGTGGATAGGGTTTTGTTTGATGGAACATAAGACAAGGTAGAAGTAGGTGGATATTGCTGTACGGAAACGGAGTTATCAAGGGAAAGCACTAATTCCTTACGACAATATAGCACTTGGAATGGATTAGGATATGACGGAGGAAAGGAATCGTTCCAATCACGTGGAAGGTCGGGGATTGAACGCAGACCTGCAAGAAGCGAAACCGGCTTCCCTACCATCCAGTCCAAGTGGTTGGGATGAACACTGTGGTGTGCGGTACCAGAGAAGATGGTGGAGTTTGGTCTTGGGGTGGAACACGATTGTGCCCTGTTTGTACTCTGCTATTAATGACTGCGAGCCACGTTGTATCTGTTGCGTTATAATTTAATAAGTCTGAGGTTGGAATTCTTTGTCTTTGAGGAACTTGTTGACCACCTCGTACAGTGTACGAGCTTTTCCTTACATTTCTTCGACTTACTCCTTCTTCCGTATTTTATCCCTGTTCTTATGTCCCTTCCAAGTTCTGTATAGTCAAACTGGCTTGGCGCTTTCACCTCATAATTACGTACTTTGTTGACCAAACCACACACTAGAAAGTGAAGGGACGACGACGTTTCTGTCCGTCCTGGACCATTCTCAAGTCGATTGTACTTCTCTCTCTCGCCTGCTTACGTACCCTAAATTGCGTTTCCAGGTTCAAAAATCTTCTCTTGTCTGACTTTCTCTCAGTTTAAAGAGGCCATTCGTATCCATCTTGTCAATTCTCCCCTCAATAGCCTGTATGTGGTTATCATGTCCTCTTAGTCTCTTCAATCCACCAAGTGTAGTTCTTTAACCTATTCTCGTAGCTTAGATCTCCTATCTCTAGCACTTATCCTGTTGCAAACCTTTGAACTTTTTCAATTTTGGTTTAATGCCTCACCACCTGCGGATTTCAACCGGTCCTGCATACTCCAGTATTGGTCTAACAAGACCTTGTAGATTGTCTTGAAAAAGTTGTGATTTAGGCTCCTGAACGACGTTGTAATGTTTGCCAGCGTCCCGTTAGTTGCCGATGTTGTCCTGTTTATGTGTGCCTCTGGAGATACTGTTGGAATTATATACACACCTAAATCTGTGTGTGTTTGTGAGTGTGTTTGTGTGTTTGTGTGTGTGTTTGTGTGTGTGTGTGTGTGTGTTTGTGTGTGTGTGTGTGTGTGTGTGTGTGTGTGTGTGTGTGTGTGTGTGTGTGTGTGTGTGTGTGTGTGTGTGTTTGTGTGTGTGTATTTGTGTCCTCTCCTATTTGTACTCACCTATTTGTGCTTGCGGGGGTTGAGCTTCGGCTCTTTGGTTTCGCCTCTCAACCGTCAATCAACTGGTGTACAGGTTCCTGAGCCTACTGGGCTCTATCATATCTACATTTAAAACTGTGTATGGAGTCTGCTTCCACTACATCACTGCCTAATGCATTCCACTTGATAACTACTCTGACACTGAAGAGGTTATTTTTAACGTCCCTGTGGCTCATTTGGGGACTCAGTCTCCACCTGTGTCCCTTTGTTCGCGTACCACCCGTGTTAAAATGTTTACCCTTATCTACCCTGTCAATTCCTCTGAGAATTTTGTAGGTCGTAATCATGTCTCCCCTTACTCTTCTGTCTTCACTTGCGTGTTGTGTGTGTGTTATTGATCAGTGAATACTACAGTGATATATATATATATATATATATATATATATATATATATATATATATATATATATATATATATATATATATATATATGTCGTACCTAGTAGCCAGAACGCACTTCTCAGCCTACTATGCAAGGCCCGATTTGCCTAATAAGCCAAGTTTTCCTGAATTAATACATTTTCTCTAATTTTTTTCTTATGAAATGATAAAGCTACCCATTTCATTATGTATGAGGTCAATTTTTTTTTATTGGAGTTAAAATTAACGTAGATATATGACCGAACCTAACCAACCCTACCTAACCTAACCTAACCTATCTCTATAGGTTAGGTTACGTTAGGTAGCCGAAAAAGTTAGGTTAGGTTAGGTTAGGTAGGTTAGGTAGTCGAAAAACAATTAATTCATGAAAACTTGGCTTATTAGGCAAATCGGGCCTTGCATAGTAGGCAGAGAAGTGCGTTCTGGCTACTAGGTACGACATATATATATATATAGATATATATATATATATATATATATATATATATATATATATATATATTAGTATATTTTAGCAGCAGTCATTCTTGTAAATATATGTTATTGAATATAACTGAAAGGTTAAGTTTAATGATTCTAATACGAATCTTCTCAATATTTCTTATGTTTTTCTTCAATGTCGATGGAAGTTGAAAAATTAACTCTCCAAAGGTCATTTTCATATTTTATTGTGGTCTGACGCCTAGGAAGGCGTTTCCCAAGGTACTCCTTACATTCCATTCACCTGGACTGTATGGGTCTCGAACAGTGGACCCCACGTGTGTGAGGCCGACGCTCTATCAACTCAGCTATGAGTGGTTTTTATGAGGAAAGTTTCAAGAAGCAGCATCCTGCTGCATACTGGAATTTTCAACATACCCTGCTATCCACACTTCCCTGGAAAAATGTGGATTCAGATTTTCCATGGAAATGTGATTTATGACAATTTAAATTTAATTTAATTTCCATGGAAATTGTGACAATTTATGCTCCCTACATTTT